GTTAGTAAAAACCAACTATTTCCGGTCTCTGGGGCATAGAAGGGCTAGGGGCCAACTATACGCAAAGAGGGCTTTTAACCCACTTTGTAGGCTGGTGAAAACAGACTAGCACAGGCATTCCTGGAAGAAACTGGAATTGCTGAGTGGGTAATGCATACAGGTAATCTTCTGGTACCGTCCCACAAAATGACAGAACAAGTAGGGTCAGAACAGAGCTATGAATTCTGAATTGAAGTTTCTGGCACTAATATTAGGGCCACAGCCAGGCCTTCACAAGGAACATATCCACCATAATTTGTGTTCAGACAAAAGTAAACACTTCAGTCCACAGGCACTCCATCATCAGTGGATAAAGTGGTCTAGGCTGACCTGATGGGGAGAAGTGGAGGCTGAGGTGGAGGCTGGCACTGGTAGATTCAGGCCACAGGAACAGCCCCACTTTGACACAGGGTAGTGGAGGAAGAGTTGTGCAGAAGCCTGAATATCCTCAAATGTTAAGGTGAAAAGTGTTGATTAGAGTCAGCCGGAGATGACATGCAGAGAGTAGATGGCTGGAAGAGCACTTACACACATGTGGTGGTGGTGAGAATGGGTTATACCCATCAGCCATAATGCCCAGGAAGGAAAGAATGAGAACCTAAATAGGGAGGCAGAAGAAGGAAAGGAAAGAAGGGTGTGAACTGTGGAGACTTGAGGGGCATTTGCCAGATGGGCTGGGGGCTTGAGAGAAGCTGTGAGATTCAGGAAATGAAAGGAATTCTCTGTCCTGGTGCAGGGTCACTTAGAACTTTCCAGCTTTGATTACTCTTTCTTTTTTTTTTTTTTTTTAAGATTTATTTATTTGTACAGAACTGAGGTACAGGCCAGAGATGTGGAGGGTGAAAGAATTCACCAGAGACAGAGTGGGGTGCAGAACAGGCAGATCGACGAAGTACACTGCTGAGGGGAGCAGTGGGCGGGTCAGGAAAGGTCTGCCTCGCCATGTGGATCTCCTCCAGGGCAGGTGGGGATCGAACTCATGCAGAAGTGGCTTAAGCTTCTTTGTGCTGTGCTTTAACCCACTGTGCCACCAGGGAGGGCCTGATTACTCTTTCTTACAAACCTCTTTCATACAACTAAAGGTACAGGTAATTGTGGCTAACTTACCTGAGTTTTTTCCCATCTCCCCCAGGTGTTTTCCCACCTCCCCCAGGTGTTTTCTCAGAGAACTTGTAGAGGAGGAAGCTTCTGTTTCTCATATGTGGTTAAGGAAAACTGGAGCTGTGAAGGATTATGGAAAATGTATTTATCAAGTACCAAATTTGTGTGGCCAGAGCTTCCAAGATGTGATTCCACACGAACAAAAATGGAGTTTTCTCAGTTATTCCAGAATGTTGAGACACTCTGTCCTGCAACTTATTTGAGTCACTTCTAAGAGCCAAGGTAGATGGGAAATCACAATCGAGGCCTGCAATGGTAGTAATGTCTCTGCACTTTCAACTCAGGTTGAAAAACAAAACTGGGGTAGGAGGAGATAACTGACTGCCTTTCAATCACCCGGCTTTACACAAAATTACGTGCACCTAGATAACCAAAAAAGAGGTAATAAGGATGTGGAATCCGATTGTGAGCCCAGATGTAGTCACGAATTCTCCACATTGTGAAGAGACCCCATCAGGTTAGGTTAGAGAGCATCCCTGGTGCGTGTCGGCCACCAGCGTTTGAGGATCACACCACAGTGCACCCCATTCCTTCTTCCCAGGTAGTACAGGTGCAACCTCAACTCCCAGATCAAGGCTGTTTTCTTCGAAAGAGTTCTCTAGACCCTCATATTAGGTGATATACCATAAAGTACCATTTCTCTTATAATTTATAAATTGTAGTCTTGAATTTTTGATTAATATCTTTCTCTGATTCTAGACTGAAAACTCCATGAAGTCAGGGGTAGCTCTGATTTTTCCCTCTCTGGTGCCTGGCTGACCCCCAGTGTATGATAAATGTGGATGGAAGTAAAGCGTGAGGAGAAAAAGAAGAGCCAGCCAGTTCTAGAATGGGCTGAGTGTCAAATCTCAGCAACTGAATTCCACCCTATTATTTTTAAAATGACCCTCCAGAGGGTCAGTATTAAATGTCCAAAGGGCTGTTGACTTCACCCTTGTAGATAATTATGTGTTCACACTATGGAATAATTAATAATAACTAATAATGTTATCTGTTTCCTGTTGTGCTAATATCAATCCATTGTAACTAAATATGGAGAACTCATAGTGAAGAATAACAATGTCCATAAAAAAGAACAAAGGAAGAAAAGAAGTAGAATGTAACTATATCATGGGAACTACTTGAGCATCAGACTTAAATAAATGAAACAATTTAAGCTTTGGCATGACAACACAAAAACAGACAACAGCAAGGCTTCCGGTTTTCTGAGTCCGGTTTTCTGAGTCGGGCTAGGCATTTTTCAGTAAGATAGTCCTGCTCATAAGCAGGGTCTGGGCATTCACATGCCCACCCAAGCGAAGGAGTCCTGCCACCAGTGTCTGTTTTGCTTTTCCCCAGGGCTCCTTTGTAAATAACCTCTGAGAGTGAAGTTTGCAGAAACATGACGGATCTCTGCCCTTATCTCCTTCTAAGTAGCCTGCTGCCTTCTATGTTATGACTCTACCACCTGTGTGTGCATGCACTGAAATAGACTTTCAATCAAAATGACCTCATGAGTTTCCCTTCCCAAACTGGGAGCTCCGATGCTGAGGGAGCTCCCTGCCGACTACCAGTGGGTGGCTCCCAACTCCTCATCCAGCAGATCGTGATCTGCATAATCTTGCTTCTGTGAATCAGCGCCTGCTTCTCAACACACCAAGTTAAATAGTGCAGGGGTCTTTGCCAATATTTTACTCAAGGGCATTTGACTCAGGGGTGATGAAGGAAAGAACTTGCCCTCAGCAAGCTCAGGCAGGTCACAGGCCTCTTCCCTGATTGATGTTTTCATAGGACATAGCACAGATACACGTCAACTACTTTACCTGATGTTCAACTGAAAATAAATAAATAAATAAATAATCCTAACCCCCAGGACTGCAGGAAAAACTGGCTATAATGAACTTAACAATAGGTGGTATTGGCTCTGACATGGCACTTCACCAAGGAATGGCAAAGATAATGTCAAGTGAACTCCATTTCCTTCATTTGCCTTGACTTTAACATCTATATAAGATTCAATCCCACTGTGCTTCCTGAGCATAAGGTGGTAATTACAGACTAGTCGGTACTTAGGCTGCTGTACTCAGCGCCTTGGGTTAAGGAGGGGTTTGGGTTCATTCCTTCTGCCTGTAAGAAATCCTTTCAGCATAGGATAAAAATCCAGGTTGGGAGAAGAGCCAGAAGACCGGTGACGCTTACCCCTAGTCTACAGGAGACTTGAATAACCCCCTCTCCATTTTGGCCTTACATGAGGGGACATCATACAGGTTTGATTCAAACTTAAAAAACCTACTGAGAACTGAAACCACTACAGCCACACAGCTTAACTAGTAAGAGTGAGAAAAACTATTAAGACAGAGACCATCTGTGTCAACATAACTATTTCTTCCAGGATATTCTTGCCCAGGAAGTTAAGGCTGTAAACCAATAAATAACCTCACTGTTTGCTACAGGAAATTCTTATATAACAGTTTGTTTTGGCAAAGTTTGCTCACCTGGGATAACAATTTTCTTATCAGACTATGATTTTCTTGCCAAGACTTGCTTTAAGACCCTCTCCGTGTTGGAAGCCACCAACCCTGAACTATTGTAACAAATCTTGCTGAAACTCAGTCAGTTCTCTGCTTTAAAACATACAGCTTAAAGGACTTGGATCTGGATCCCTGTAAGCTAAAGTTTGCTTTCTGACCTCTCCTTGCTTAAATACCAATAAGGTTCTGTCTTGGTGATCTGTTCTCTAAGTTCAATGAACTTAGCTTTGCTTTGTCAACAGGTTCTTCTGATGTAGCTCATAAATGACACAATACATCAAGTCTGTTCTCTTGGAAAAATGAATCATATAAATGAGCCTTAATACATGCTTATAACCCCCCAGGGTGGGATAATTATTGAGCATCGTCAATTTCCCTAGGTTTTAAATAAAGTTAGGTCCCTCCTTTGGGGAAAAGATCTGCTGTTGTGACACCTGCTTAGGGCAGATGTCAGGTGCACATTTTACCTCTAATTTACTACTTTTTAACATGAATATGTATTTTCCAAGTTTTCTACAATGAGTATGCATTAGTTTTAGAATGAGCAGAAAGACACAAAGCAAGAACCCTATGAAATTAATTCCCAAGCATAAATTAGAAATGAGCAGAAATCTTAATTTAAAACATATACACACAGAGGGATTGAGTGTATAAAACATCCATTCAGAACCTCTTCCCATTAAGCAAGCAGGGTAATTTCATCCCATTAACATCAATACAAATATTAAAAAACATATTGTACATTATTAATCCTGCTGGCTTGGTCCTAACTTGCCTGATCTTAAGAGGCCCCTGGGGTATTTGATAAAACACACCAGCGAATAACCTTTCATCAGTCTAGGGTGAGACCCAGGAATCTGTTCTTTCTTCTTTTTTAATGAGCTCTTACGTGACTCATGCGCTCAAGCAAAGAGTAGAAGTGACGGGCCTACAGCACTGATTCACAGGAATGCAGAGTCTAGATTCCATCAGGAAACCATCCAACTGAAACAGGAATAGCCACACAACTTATACATAAAGACTGCCTCGATTGTTTTTTTTTTACAAAAGGTGGCATCTCTCTGTACTTGAATCCTGGGCCTGGGAACACTATCTCGCAAAGCCCCAACCTACTGTAAAACCCAGTCACAGCGCTCAGCTGGGCTCAGGCGAGCTCCAAGCTCTGTTGGCCAGAGCTGGCTCAGAGAGCAGGCTTCCCTCTGCAGCTCGCAGGAGTGCCTGCAGCTGCCAGCAGCCAAGCAAAGGGAGCAAGCTAGAGATTAGCGATCCCAATCAAGCCTTGCTTTTTACCTTAAAGAAACTTCCTCGTTTGTCCAGACCGCGGGCGCCCATGGTCCAAGCTGACATTTCCCCCAGTGAGGTTCTACTGCACGCCTGGGACTCCTGAAGGTAGAGACATTTTTAATGGTTAGTCCAGCCTGTAGGAAATTCCTTTCTAAGCCACAGAACACTCACAACAACAGTCCTGCCAAGATCTTTTTCCGTCAACAACACAGTGCCATTTATTTCCCACCAAAGCCCTTCCATCTCCTTTCAGGCTGATTTCCTGCCTCAGACGGCACAGTTCCTAGACTGTGCCCCACCTCAAGGCCCCACCTCCCGCTTCTCCAGCTGACGCAGAAGGTCTTTGCAACTGCTGAACGCATAATGATTGCTTTGTGTCTTTGCCTGACCTTACACTCAAGTCCTAAAGGAACCAATATTCCATGTCACCGTAATCTGCGCTGAAGCTTATGGACTTAATGTGGTTGATCACACAGGGACAGAAGAAGAATGTGGCCCTGAATGTCCCAGGAAATCCTGCTGGAATGGGTGAGGTCATCTTTAGCTCTGCTAGCCCTCTCCCCCCAGGCAAGGTCAACGCAAGGGCACTGGGAATAAATTCCTCTATTTTCTCTTTAGAAATAAAGAATGGGATGAAATTCTGTGCCCCTGTTTACAGATATCGGGCTGGATAAGAAGCAGCATGTAAACAACTCCATGGCTGGGAGTGGGGGGGTGAATTTTGGCATGCAGAGAGAAGCTTAAAGGCATGATATGATTCTGAATCATAACTGTGGCTATTTGAATTTGGAATTTCCCTCACTCGAACATCAAAACCCAATGCACTTCCTTCTTGGGCACAACCCTTCAGTTCTCTAAGTAAAACAGATACCACACCTGAATAGTTGGCCTTGGCCAAGTCAGTATGAAGAGACCTGAGGCTAATCCCCAAATTTTCCTTCATCAGGGACCCTGAACTAGCAGTTATTCTAAAATAGTCTTCCACTCATAATAGTTTCTGCTCACCACAGCATACATAAGATATAGCTGGTCCTAACCACAACCACATACTAGAAGGACAAGCATGGAAATATTAAGTGATAACATCTTGCAGGTTACATTAAGAAATATTAAAAGAGGGTCTAGCCAAGGAAATGGGGCTGTGGGGAGGCACTGTTCATGCAGGCTGTTTCATTATTAGCTGGTAGACAGCAGCACCAAAAGAACATTTTAACAAGTGGAGAAGAAAAAGTACATTGCAGAGAATTGTACACGCAGGGTGAGCAAACTCTTTGGAGGCCAGTTCATTCCAGCCTCCTGACCTGCTTACATTCATAATGGACAGCAGCCCCCCCAGAGAATCTGATCTAGGAAAAAATACTATTAATGCAGTGCACAAACATTCCATCTTCTGGAGTCTTCACATATTTTAATCATTTCTCCGTGACTTTAAATGTTCTGAGAGAGACTCCCTGTGTTTCTTCCCATTTTCAGTCCCACCTAGATGAAGAACAACAGCCCAAAAACCTCCTGAGGAGGCTGGTGAGCTTTCTACTGCAATCCTGCTGACTCCAAAGGTTCAGATTCTTGGTCTCAGCAAGGAAGGGCACCCCAAATCCTAAGCAACTGAATTTCATCATTTACAAGCAAAGTCCAGAGATTGAAGTGATGCTGGAACACAATGCAGTGTTCAGAACTGAAGAGTAGAATGGAGCCACATGGTAACCTTGGGAGCAAATGATTAACTCTTTAAGCCCAAAGGCACACAAATTAAAAAGTACACTTAAAAAGCAAGCCTGATGTCTGTAATTCTTTTTTCTTTCAGAGGTTTTCTCGGCAGGGGATTTGACATGCACAGCAGTCAGGGAGCTGTTAAGTGAGAGCCAAGACTTCATTCCTCATCCAGATCTAAGTCGCTTTGTTCTGTTCAGAAGTTTTCTGTGTACAAACCCTTTCGATGAGCCATGACAGGCAGGGAATTTTTGCCTATAGCGATAGCACAGTCTGGAATCCAGAACATTTTTAGTTTAATTAGCTGCCTGAAAATTACGTGCATACAATTTTACCCCCATGAAGTTCTAATGAAACATTCTGTTTGGATTCCATGAGAAGCAGGCAAATCTACCACATTTCTCCAGGAAGACAGGTACAGGTCACTCCCTTACTTCGTCATAAAGGTGCTCTGGGATGGCGATAAGAACAGATGGCCAAGTGTCACGGCACAGTCTTCCCACAGAATGAAATCCAAGTACAGGATAGATTATTCTATTTATTTTAAGTAAAGTTTTTAAGAGCCCAACAAAAGTTTCAGTTTAAGGCCCTCTTGTCAAAGCAATAGTTTCCTTCCCAAACCATAACACCTTAATTCAATATGAGTAGAAATTTAATATCATTCAAGACAATACTTTCTGTGATCCCCTACCTTTTCCTTCCCAGGAATTAACCAGCAGTTTCATCCTAAAACCATCCCAGTAACAGGCTGGACCAAGAGGCAAAAAAGGTACCGTAGTTTGAAAGCCTGTGAAATTCCTCCAGACTTACATGGTGAAAGAGTGATCCTTTCCTGGTTTCCCTGAAGGGTAAAGGAGATTCTTGAAAAAAACACACACAGCATGTCCAGTGGATCTTTCCAGATGCTAGCTGAAAGTAACCAAAAAAAGAAAAGGGAAAAAAAAAAAAACCCTCGAATGGGACTGAAGGACACTGCAAACTCTCTGAAGCTGCCAAGCCCTTTCAATAACACCACAGAAGGAATGTAAACGAAGCTGGTTGTTCTGGTCCGGCTAAAGGACAAAGGCAGGGAATGGCTATTCCTCACTCTCCCAGAAACACCAGGCGTTTCCCCTTGAGAGTAATCCTAGCTGTGTCTTTCGCGTGGCCCCAAGAGCGGGTGCTGGGGTAAAGGTCTGTACTGAGAAGCATAAAAGCTCCAGGCTGCCTGAGCTGCCGCTGAGCCAGAGATTACGCAAGATGGTGCCAGGTAGGCTGTTCTCTTCTGAGAGTCGCCAAGGAGGGCGCTGAGGCCCCGCGGCTCCGCTGCCACCTGGATCGGAACACCAAGTGCCCGGTTTCCAGTTCACTGATCAGCCAAGCTGGGTTGAGGCACTGGCACTCTTCCAGTTTCTGGTTTACCTGGCCACACGCCAGATCTTGGCAAGACAGAAGATCTGAGCTGTGTTAATGAGCTGGTCTTTCTGGTGCCGCTCCCCTCCCCTCAACCATCAATTCACTTAATCAAACGATTCCCTTACTATTTTATTTGCCTGGGGTCACAAGTGCAAACCCATAAGCAAACTAGCAGAGTCCACTACTCCTAAGAAACAACTAAGTCATTCCGCGGATTTTCATCTTCAAGCAGCTGTGAGCGTTGGCACAAAAGTCTACTGCTTTACAGAAGTTGACTGAGGCAGGTAAAGTGAACTTTAGTTCTTAGTAAATAACATTCGCTATTTATTACATTTTAAAAATTATTTTACAACCAGAATGGCAGAAGTAGGAGAAAAATGACTCATCTGCGAGGATCCATCAAGTCAAGGCGAATTCCGAGAAATGCATTTTACCTTTTCCGCTGGCCCTGTGTCTGAATCCAGGGAAATTCTCTAAATATTTCCATAATTATCTCTCTATTACCACAGATTTTATAAGTTGGAAAGAAAAACTCTATTCCAGGCTCTGACTTAAAATGTCAAGTTTTGTGGATTTTTTAAAAAAGCATCTTATACCACTGCACAGCATTGATTGTCCCTCCATCGATTGTTAAACCTTAAAAAGGTTTTAGGCCATCAAAACTTTTCATGGAAAGACAAACTAATTTGTGTGACACTGAAAAACAAAAACAAAAACAGAAGCAAAGAATTATATCCTCAGTCTCCTTACTCAACTACATTTTGTTATTTTTGTTTAAATTAGAATTAAGAACAATGTTCAGCGCCTTGGTTTTCTCAAGGATAAGGTATTTTCGTAAGTGGGGTGAAACTGTACATTTGTCTCCCTCCCAGGATTGGCCTACTCATGAGGCTAATTCTCCAGTGGAGGGCATCCCATCCCTCCTTGGAAAACTGTTTCCTTACAGAGTTCTGCTGGAGCCCTGGAGCCCAGCCTAGGTGTGAACACTTCCTCCAAAGACTATACCTGCTGGGCCACAGGTGAGCAGCTCTGCAGTCAACAAATTCCTCCTTTTCTTGGGTGAGAAATTGCCTCTCTGACCTTCCATCCAGTGCTTTCATTTCCCCCTTAGCCATTCAGTAATGAGCCTCCTGCTGCTTCCTCTTCTTTCTCCCTGAAGACATCCTTGTTCTTCGGAGGAAATGCTTTGCCTAAGCTTGGTGCAGGGCTGTGTCCTGTGCCCACCTAGAACAGGACTGAGTATCCCCACATTTGAAAGGGAAGTCTATTCAAACCTCCTTACTTGGAAAGTTCCAGGTGGTAAGGGACGATGTCTGTCCAGTGGGCAGTGACTTCACACATACAAAGAGGGAGTCTCACATAGCACAGGGGCTCTCAACTCTAAGTAATGTCCTGCATAGGAAGCCTCATTATGAAAATGTTTCAAAACTAGTATTTTGCATTTATTAGATAATCAGTGAAAAAAAGGGACTCTATTAATATTCTATTGTCCAGCAATGAACTATTATGAGCCTGAACTCAATATTCTTTATTTTCCTAATAGTTTTGTTTTCTTTACTAACAGCCTATCTACCATTAGCATAGAAAAAGTAAAACACACACTCAAAGTTGAAATGCCTATGTTAAAATGTCCTATTTAGCAGGATAGATATCCTACTCAATAATCTTACCACAATGAAATGAAATGAAAGTGTCCAAGATTAAAATGTTGTGACAACCAGCTCCAGGAAGGAGAAATAGAGAGTTATCATTCTTATATTAAAAACTAGCTTCTAGGTATATGTTGCCTGGAGTGTCGTGTACTAATTTGTTTTTTATTCCCTATTATTTTAAATTTGCGTATACCTTTCCAAACTTTCCACTTCACCATTAGGTTATTTACACTCCCTTTTAATTAGGAATGTACTAGAAAATGCTTAGAGACTGGCTTTCTGGGGAATAAAAGCCCCACATTTCAGCATTCGCCTACTGATGTTAATACATAAATATTTGCT